CGGCCCTCCACCCCCGAGTCCCCTCGCGTCACCGCCCCGTCACCGCCACCCCTCCCTTTCTCTGAGCGACCATCCCCTCATCGACATCGAGGCCAAGCCAGGCCCATAACAACAGCACGAAGCGGCACGAGGCATAAGGTTTCTGTAGAAGTGACTGACTATTTAGAATTTTGTCTGAATGATTTGGTTGAATATTGTTTGATGATGTTTCTAGGGCGAGAAGGGCACGCATGTGATGTCTTTTCTTTGCTGTGCACAACGCATTTCCCCTTTCACGCCGTGCGCGGGCCGTGAGCGGCGACTTCAAAGAGTGCCAATCGCGAGGGAGGAGAGGGAGGAGCAGGAGCCGAGGGAAGGGGTGGCGGGTGGCTCACTGCACCACCGACATGAACAGCCTCCTCCATTCTGTCTCTCTCTCTCTCTCTCTCTCTCTCTCCCTACCTCTCCCTTTTTTTCTTGTGGAAATTCTTCCTCGCTTCCCGCGGCAGCATAGCAGCGCGCAACTTCTCATTCACCGGCATAGCCAGTTTCAAAATAAGCAGTTGGTTGATGTTGGTGTAGTTGTTGTTGAGGGTGCGCGAGCGGCGCGAGCCACCCCCGCGCGCGCCGCATTCTCGGCATAATTGGTCCTGCAGGGCCCCGCCTTGCCCCGCCTTGCCCCGCCTTGCCCCGCCTTGCTCGGCACGCCTCGCTTTGATGCACGCATTCCTCTTGAGCACGCCCCGGCAGCGCCTCCGGCCTCCCCCCGCGGCACAACGCCCTGCCCCCGCGACCGCCGCCGCCGCCGTGCGTTGCGTACGGCTAAAAGTTTGGCAGAACAAGTTAATTTCCACCAAAACGTGCGCGCAATCAAAACTATGACGTGGCTTCGTGGCTTATTGGGCGGAAGCAGGGAGGGAAAGTTCCACTTCAACGACTGGGCAGACACAAGGGGGTTGCAAGGGCGGATTGGAGGGCGAGCAGACGGCGCGGAAGTCCAGAGATACCCGGGCAGGATCAGATTTCTAAACAAAAATTAAAATGAGATCTTTCAGCACGGAGTGCTTCACGTTCGGTGCAGCTTGGCCACAATGTGGCTACACATTCTAAACTAGAAAGTACCCCCTCTAGTCCCTAGCTGCCGGGCGGGCGGGCTTGCCTCCCGTCTCTACCACGGCGACTTGTGGCCCCTTGCGAGTAGGCAACGCGTCCACACGTCTGCATGGCGGGACAGTACAACTACGACATTGTCCCAGCCCAGGTATGTGGGCGACCGCGTTTGAGCACTGTGCTTGCAAAATCTGAAATGATGAATGGTGAATGGGTTTGTGTCGGGCTATATAACGCGTTCAGTGAGTGCGGCTGTGCATCTCGGGGGTTGGAAAACCTAGCAAAACGTGACCAAGTAGTGGTCACGCTGCACCGAACGTGTGAGATATGCGTGTCCCGCTCCCCGCCAGGCCGGAGCTGTGCGTCGGCGCGCCACACGCAGCGCAGCGCAGCGCAGCGCCGGCCGCGACGCGTGCCTCTTAGCCACTCTAATGGAGTGCGAAACAAGCATCATTCCCCGATTATGAATCGTCATATCGCCGCGCGTTATGACAGGAAAAATATGCTCGCTGTACACACACAGCCACACGTACACAATCATTCACACGCACGCACACACACACACACACACACAGGCTTGCCCGCGCACTCGCTCGCTCACAACAAGTGGGTGCGCGGCCAAAGGGGTGGTTGTCGCAGGGGTGGGAGGGGAGAGGGAGAGGCTTACAATGGGTTCATGCTCGTTGTCGACCCCAGCGTCGTCCTGGTGAGCGCCTCATTATACCCCCCCCCCCCCAATCCCCTCCCAACCCTCCCTCCACTGCGACCGCGCGTCGCCCCTTCCCCGCTCTCCACTTTCGTTCCCCTACTACCCCCTGTCACCAGCAGCCAGCAGCAGCCCGGTTTTGTTCGCCAAACACTTGATTCTGGTGGACATTGTCCGTCACCAATAATATCGCTTCCGCCGGCGGCGTTTGCAGGCCTGTGGGGAGACTGGAAGAGCCCTCGCGGCAGCAGGGTGCGATGCGCAGGGGCAGCTGGGCCGGGTGGAAGCAAGGGTCGACTACCGTGCCGCAACCTCGACCAAAACACACGACCGCCAGAGTGTCTTACGTTCGGTTCATTGTTTTAAATCTCCTAATTTCCTCCACACTCTCTCCTTTGACGCCGATCGAATGTCGTGTCTGGCCTTCTGGATGGTTCGTACTCGCGCGGTGCGTGAAGTGGGGGTGGAGGGAGGGCGCCGCGTCCGCGCGCGCCGGGCGGCTCCATTCAGGCCGGGGGTGCACCTCCCCTGCACCTCCCCTGCGCCTCCCCCCACCCCCGGCCGGGCCGCGCCGCCCCCAGCCGCCCCCCTCCCCTCCCGGGTCCAGAGAGGCTCCGCTCCGGCGCGGCTCCCCACCACCGCAGCTAAGGAGCGGTGCCACTAGTGAAACACACTCCGGGACGGGGAGCACGCCAACGCCGTGTCGTCTGCTGCCTCCGCGCCGGCCTGGACAGCTCTCTCGACCTGGGCACCGCGTCCTCCGACCCGAACGACAACAACAACGACGTCGGCGACTCGGTTGCGTCCTGCTGGCTGGACGACTCCAGTGCGACTCCAGTCGGGCGCTCGTGTGTGCCTCCGAGTCCACTTTCGCCGGCTATGGGCAACCTCGCGGAGTCCAGCGCGCCGCGTCAGTGACAGTGTTCATGTGTGTGTGTGAGAGTGTGTGTGAGTGACTCGTCACGTGACGGTGCTGTCATGTCAATAAGGACGCGGCAGAGCGATTGCGCCAGAAGGTGATTCTTTGGGGAGACGACGACGTCCGAGCAGAGATAAGATAGTTCCGTTTCCCGTCGAGAGAGAGAGAGAAGTCTTCCGCGGTGCAGCCCCGGCGGCGCAGCAGCAGCAGAAGAGAGAAGGAGCGCCAAAGCTAGACGCCGCGAGGCAGCCGGGCAGCGCGGACCACGTGCACACATCGGACTGGTGGTGAGTAGTAAGCGCGGGCGTGCAGGGCGACCCCTAACAACCCCCCTAGCGACCCCGGCGAGCTCGAGGATGCGCTTTTTGAACGTAATTACAGCCTCCTGTATGCAGCGCCCGACAATAGCGGCCGCTGCCAAATGTGACAGGTACAGTCGCCCACGCATTCCGCCCGGCTAATCATGGGCTTCCTCACGTCTTATTATACGCACCCGATTCCATTAGCCTCTCTCTGTCTCACCTCCCTCTGTCTCTGTCTCTCTGTCTCTGTCTGTCTGCCTCTCTCTCTCCCTCTCTCTCCCTCTCTCTCTCTCTCTCTCTCTCTCTCTCTCTCTCACACACACACACACACACACACTCACACGTGTGTATGTGCCCGTGGTAATTGCTCCATGGAGATGCGAGGGTGCAGTACTGCTTCGTGTCTCGGCGGATGCAAGGCAATGCGATGCAACGGATGCACTTAATGCGCCATTATGCTGGATGGTCTTGATGAAGGTGCAGTATGTCATACGCCGCGCTTTTGCAGGAGAGAGCGAGAGAGATAGGAGGAGAAGGGAGGGAGGGGGAAGGGCAACTTTTTCAAGTTCACATGCGCGGCGAGAGGCTAGGTGTTGGCTGCGACCGGCCGAGTGTAAGTGTTTTTCTTCTCACGCTCTGCATTCCACTCCATTATTATTATTATTATTCCATGGAAAGGCACAGAAAGGAATAAATAAGAAAGTTGTCTTTATTGTTCAAAGTTTAAGAAATGTAATGTAGTGTGTTGTGACGTATGACGTATGCCGCCCTGGCAGTAAGTCTGGCAGTAGTAGTTGTCCTCTTGTTTGTTGTGACATTTGCGGCGGCCGCCATGTGTGACGCACGAGGACCGCAGCAGGGCCCGCAGGACCGCAGGACCGCAGGACCGCAGGAGGCGGCGGCCTGCAGGGGGCCCGACGGCCCGTGTGCCGGGGCGGCTCTCGGGGGGGGGGGGGGGGGGGGCGGGGGGGGGGGGGGGGGGGGGGGGGGGGGGGGGGGGGGGAGACGAAACGAGCGTGGTGGGTGTTATGCACGGGACCACACCTGGGGCCCCGCGCCGCGCCACGCCTGCGAGCCGTTCAATATAGTGATTTATAGTTCTGGTCGCGCCGGCCCTCGCCGCTTTTTAACCTCGCCAAGTCAACCCCTCCCGGCTGCAAGCATGGCGGCCGCGGGCTGCCGGCCCCGGGGCCCTGGTGTGTGTGGGCGGCCCCGCTGGGCGGGCGGCCATCGCTAAGGCACTCCGTGGCCATGGCGACGAGACTGATAAGGAACGCGAGCCTCGAACACACCCACCGGGACCGGGACTCGCACACGCACGCACGCGCGCGCGCACACTCATACACACACCACACACACACACACACACACACACACACACACACACACACACACATGCACACATGGCATGGACGGGCGGCATTCGTTCCTCCGCGTCAGCAACGGTCACGACTTCATACACGCTCTCCTGTGAATGGGGAGTGCAGCGTCGTAGGGTGACCGCAGGGTGACCACGTGGGACCGTGCGTGTGTGTGTGTATGTGTGCGCTCGCTCGCTTGTGTGTGTGTGTGTGTGTTGGTGTGTGTGTGTTGGTGTGTGTGTGTTGGTGTGTGTGTTGGTGTGTGTGAGTGTGTGTGTGAGCACCATGTGCGGGGATGGCGTCGCGGTCCGTGTGTGCAAGAGCGTGCCCAATGGTCGTCGCCATTCGCCGCCGAGAGCGGGTCTGCGGTCTGCGGGGCCCCCAATGGCGGAGCGACCGGTGGCCGTAAAAACCCTCCCGCTAAGACCTTTCGAACACACACACACACACACACACACACACACACACACACACACTCACGTGTTGGAGAGCTGGTCCGACCCGGAGCCCCTCGCACTCCGCGGTGGAGTCCCTGAAAGTAACGTAACTATGATTAGTTCTCTGTGGAGTTACGGAACGGACGCGGGATCCCCACGTGACACCATATTCATAAACTATCGACCCTATCGACATATCGAAGGAGAGCTCGACATTTGAAACCTATACACACGAAGTTCGTGGAGGCTCCGTATAAACACGCAGTTCCCTGGGGCTCGGTACAAACACGGAGTTCAGCAGGCCGCCGTATAGCGTCGTAACTATGTTTTTTGAAAATTTCGAGTTATGAAGTGCGTCGGGTAGAGGAAACCAAGGGCTATCGATTAGCGAAAACCGCATTTCGATATGTCAATTAGTTCAAATGTAATTCTGGTCTGAAAATCCAGCCGCCCATAAGGCGCAATGTAAATCCAAAACTTTGAAGCGCTGTATCTCAGAAGTGACTTTCAAGCACTTACGACGTTATACGGGGACCTGCTGAACTGCGTGTCTGTACGGAGCTGCCTGGAACTACGGGTTTATACGGAAACTCCACGAACTCCGTGCTTGTAGGTTTCAAGTGTCGAGCTGTAACAATGAAAAGAAATTGGATGTCCGTCGGTCCCGTCATTGGAACATGACGCTGAAGTCGATTTACTTCCGACTCTGCGTCACGTAGCATCCGGACGGACGGGGCAGCCATCAGAGCATCGGTGCTTGCCTAGTGGTTTGTTTGGGTGGCTCTCACAGTCTCAGACAGAACACCTCCTTTATCCCACTATACTTCTCTCGTCTTCCTCCTCGTCCTAATTCTCCCCTCCGCCGGTTTCTGCTGCAGAGCTCTCCTTCTCCGTTAATAAAGGCATCTTCCACTCCGATACAGGGCCACCTACGGCGCGGCTGGCTGGCGCGGCGGGGCCGGCCGAGCGCTTCCATAGCGATGGCTAATTTCCAATATTATTATTAGGCACCTCTCGTTCCACAACAAAGGATGAGGAGACGGAGGAGGGCATCAGCCGCGCAATATACCTACTCTCCCTCCGTAGCGCTCGCAAAAGAAAAGTAAAAGAAGCCTTTTAGCGTGATTACGCGTCCGGAAAATAACAACGTCTTTAAATGACTTAATCCGATCCGACTTGGTGGCGAATTTTTACGGTTCGGGTGAAGAAGAAGTGTCTGCCCGACCCAGTCCACTCTCCCCGTCCCCCGTCCCGGGTCCAGCGGGCCAGACGTGTGCGTGCGACGGCCGCCGCCGCTTCTGCTGGCTCTGGCGCGGGTCTCGGACTCTGAGTCGAGTCATAACATCGCAAGATTCACAATATTCGACATGATAGCAAATCGTCCCCAAAACTTTATTCCCCGCGGTTGTCACTGTCTCTGGCGTTGGTTGTAGAATTTTTGTGGCATTCCGTCCCATTGCAACGCCTTCTCCTCACACGTCCCACGCGGCCCTGCGGGGCGCAGTGCAGCGCACGGCGAGTGTTTGCAACAACACCCAGGCTGGCTGTGGGGGGCCGCGCCCCGCGCCCCGCCCGCCGCGGGGCACAACCCGAGCACACACAGCGCTACCTCCGGGAGGGCGGGGTGTGGGG